GGGGGGGGAGGCTGGGGTCACCCCATTCATCCCCTCCTCTCCTCCCCACAGATCCTGGGCTACTTCGACTATGCCTTCACCTCCATCTTCACTGTGGAGATCCTGCTGAAGGTACCAGGAGAATCTGGGGGAGTTGAGGGACCCGTGGGGGACTTAGGGGGGGGTTGTGGGGTTGTTTGGTGTTTTTTTTTGGGGGGGGTCCGTGGTGCTGGGGCTCACGGGCTCCCCCAGATGACGGCCTTCGGCGCCTTCCTGCACAAAGGCTCCTTCTGCCGCAACTGGTTCAACCTCCTCGACCTGCTGGTGGTCGGCGTCTCCCTCGTCTCCTTTGGCATCCAGTGAGCACTGGGGACACTGGGAGCGCTGGGAATGTGGGTTGGGGGCGCTGGGAACAGTGGGAGTGCCGCAGGGGTGCACTGGGAGTGCTGTTGGTGGCACTGGAAGGCACCAGGGACACTGGAGGTGTCAACTGGGGGCACTGGAAAGCACTGGGAGCACCACTGGGGGCACTGGGAACATGGGTTAAAGTCACTGGGAGTGCCACTGGGAGTGTCACTGAGAACACTGTAAGGCACTGGGGTCACTGGAGGTGCTACTGGGAGCACTGGAGACATGGGCTAATGTCACTGAGAATGCCACTGGAGCACTGGGAGTGCCACTGGGGACACTGTAAGGCACTGGAGGTGCCACTGTGGGCACTGGGAGCAGCACGGGGTCACAGGGAACATGGGTTAAGGTCACTGGAAGTAGCACTGAGAGTGCTAGTAGCGCTGCTGGGGCAACTGGGAGCACTGGGAGCACTGTTGGGGGCACTGGGATCTAACTGGGTGCACTGGTGTCCCCGCTGACAGCTCCAGTGCCATCTCAGTGGTGAAGATCCTACGGGTTCTGCGCGTCCTGCGGCCCCTGCGAGCCATCAACCGTGCCAAGGGCCTCAAGGTGTGCTGCTGGGAGGGACTGGGAGGCACTGGGGGGGCACTGGGAGGTGCCCGGGGCAGCTTGCTGGGTGTACTGGTGTGAATGGGAGCACTGGGACTCCTAACATGGGGTGTGACTGGGGTGCTGCTGCCACAGGTGTGAGTCTCTGGTTCGTCATGGTGTCCTTGTGTCTGAACACTGAGTGTCACACTTTCCTGGTGTCCCCAGTACCCAGTGTCATACTGTCCTGGTGTCCCCAACTTGCACTGTTATGGTGTCCCCAGCACCTGGTGTCACATTGCCCTGGTGTCCCCAACACCCACTGTCACACTGTCCTGCTGTCCCCAACACCCAGTGTCACACTGTCCCCATATCCTGGTGTCCCCAACACCCAATGCTCCCAACTCCTGGTATCCCACTGTCCCCAACACCCCATTTCTCCAACACACTGTTTTTCCCCACACCCTGTGTCACACCACCCCTGGTGTCCCCAACCCCCCGACGTCCCCAACATACCATTTCTCCCCTCATGGCGTCACGCTGTCCCCATCCTGCCGTCCCCCAGCACGTGGTGCAGTGCGTCTTCGTGGCCATCCGCACCATCGGCAACATCATGATTGTCACCACGCTGCTGCAGTTCATGTTTGCCTGCATCGGGGTGCAGCTCTTCAAGGTGGGCCCCCCTCACCTCCCCCGAGGGGCTGGGACCCCTCCCAGGACCCCAGATGGGTTCCCCCCCACCACCACCACCTCTGACTGTTGTTTCCCCCAGGGCAAGTTCTACAGTTGCACCGATGAGGCCAAGCACACACCTGGGGAGTGCAAGTGGGTGCTTCTGCCCCTGAGTGTGAGCGGAGGGTGTGAGTGGAGGCTGAGTGTGAGTGTAGGTTGTGTAGGGTGTGAGGTGTGAGTGTAGGGTATGAGTGGGGTGTAGGTGGTGTGAGGTGTGAGTGTAGGCTGTATGTGGAGCGTGAGTTGTGAGTGTTGGTTGTGAGTGGAGGTTGTACGTTGAGTGTGAGCTGTGAGTGTTGGGTGTGTGTTGTGAGCGTCGGTTGAGTGCGACTGTAGCCAAGCATGACTGCAGACTGTGAGTGTGAGCTGAGTGTGAGCTGCACGTGAGCACAGCTACAGCAAGTGTTGGCTGTGGGTTGGGTCTGAGTGTAGGTGGAGTGTTGGTGGTGAGTCAGAAGTGAGCATAGGGGAGTGTGTGTGTGTGTGTGTGTGTGTGTGTGTGTAGAGGCTGCCCGCGTGTGTCACCATCCCCCCATGTGTCACCGTGTCTGGCTGCTGATGTCCCCATGCTCTCCCCACCCCTCTGGGAACCCTGTCCCCATGCTGTCCCCACCCCACCCCTCTGTTGTCCCCCTCCCCACACTGTACCCACCCTTCTGCTGTCCCCATCCCCACATTGTCCCCACCCCACCTGTCTGGTGTCCTCATACCCACGCTGTCCTCATCCCACCTGTCTGTTGTCCCCCTCCCCATGCTGTCCCCATCCTTCTGGTATCCCCCTCCCCACACTGTCCCCACCCTTCTGCTGTCCCCATCCCCACGCCGTTCTGACCCCACACCTCTGTTGTCCCCCTCCCCATGCTGTCCCCATCCCTTTGGTGTCCCCATCTCCACACTGTCCCCACCCCACCCCTCTGTTGTCTCCCTCCCCACGCTGTCCCCACCCCACCGACGCCCCCCGCCCCCCCCAGGGGCACCTTCCTGGTGTACAAGGACGGGGACGTGTCCCACCCGTCGGTGCGCGAGCGCCTGTGGCACAACAGCGACTTCAACTTCGACAACGTGCTGGCAGGCATGATGGCCCTCTTCACCGTCTCCACCTTCGAGGGGTGGCCCGCGTGAGTCTCCTGCACAGTGACACCCCCAGTGGCCCCCTCCCCACCCTCGGGGAGGTGCTGACCCCTCCTGGCATCCCCGCAGGCTGCTGTACAAAGCCATCGACGCCAACGCGGAGGACCAGGGCCCCATCTACAACTACCGGGTGGAGATCTCCATCTTCTTCATCGTCTACATCATCGTCATCGCCTTCTTCATGATGAACATCTTCGTCGGCTTCGTCATCATCACCTTCCGTGCCCAGGGCGAGAGCGAGTACCGCAACTGCGAGCTGGACAAGAACCAGGTGCACGTCAGCCCAGCATCACCTCGTCCCAGTGTCACCTCACCTTGGTGTTCCTTAGTCCCAGTGTCATCCATCTTGGTGTTCCTTAGTCCCAGTGTCACCTCACCTTGGTGTTCCTTAGTCCCAGTGTCATCCATCTTGGTGTCACCTCACTTTGGTGTCACCTCACCTTGGTGTTCCTTAGTCCCAGTATCATCCATCTTGGTTGTCACTTCATCTTGGTGTCACCTCGCTTTGGTGTTCCTTAGTCCCAGTGTCATCCATCTTGGTGTCACCTCATCCCAATGTCACCTCACTTTGGTGTTCCTTAGTCCCAGTGTCATCCATCTTGGTGTCACCTCATCCTGGTGCTCCTCAGTCCCATTGTCACCCATCTCAGTGTCACCTTGTCTCAGTGTCACCTCTTCTCAGTGTTACTTAGTCCCAGTGTCACCTCATCTCGATGTCACCTTGTCTTGGTACTCCTCAGTCCCACTGTCATCCATCTTGGTGTCACCTTGTCTCGTTGTCACCTCTTCTTGGTGTTCCTGATCCCATTGTCACCCATCTCAGTGTCACCTTCTCTCGTTGTCACCTCATCCCGTCGTTCCTTATCCCATTGTCACCCATCTCGGTGCCACCTCCTCCCGGTATCCCACTCTCCCAGCATTTCCCAGTCCCTCAGGATGCCAGCAGTCCCTCTGTCACCCCTCCTCATGTCCGTTTGTCCCGGCGCTGCAGCGGCAGTGTGTGGAGTACGCGCTGAAGGCGCAGCCGCTGCGGCGCTACATCCCCAAGAATCGCACCCAGTACCGCGTCTGGGCCATGGTCAACTCCACTGCCTTCGAGTACATCATGTTCGTCCTCATCCTGCTCAACACCATCGCCCTGGCTGTGCAGGTGGAGGGGGACCGGGGGGGTGTTTTGGGGGGGTTGTGGGGGCAGTCGGGGACCCATGGGGGACGAATAAGGACCCTGGGGGCAGTTAAAGCACGCCTAGAGGTCACTTGGAGACTGAGGGTGGTTAAAGGATCACTGGGGGGTCAGTAAGGGATGGGATGGGGGTGATTCAGGACTCCGGGGGGCAATTAAATGTCCCGGGGGGCAGCAAGGAGTCTTAAAGGGGTAGTTAGGACCCTTATAGGGGCAGTCAGGACGCCTGGGGGCAGTTAAAGGGTCACAGGGGTGTGTAAGGGACAGGGTGGGGGCAGTTAGAGCGCACCTGGGGGTCTCTTGGGGAGTCCAGGGGCAATTAAAGGGGTCACTGGGGGGGCTGTAAGAGGTGATAATCGGGACAATTAGGGACTGTGGGGGGGCAGCTAGATGGCCCAGGGGTCAGTAAGGGACAGTAGCGGGGCAGTTAGAGGAATTGGGGGCAATTAAAGCCCCCCTGGGGGGCAGTTGAGGTCCCTGAGGGGCACTTGAAGGCCCTGGGGGGAGTGAAGGGTGCACTGGGGGGACGAGGGGAGGAAATTTGGGCCCCTGGGGGCAGTGAGAGCACCCATAGGGGATCAGTTAAGGGTCCTGGGGGGACAGAAGGAGGTCAGGGGGGGCAATTAGAGGCACGGGGGTGGGCAATTAATACCCCCTCCCCCAGCACTATGAGCAATCCAAGCCCTTCAACTACGTGATGGACCTTCTCAACATGGTGTTCACTGGGCTCTTCACCGTGGAGATGGTGCTCAAGATCATCGCCTTCAAACCACGGGTAGGGCCCTGGGGGGGGGTAACATGGTTGGGGGGGGATCACAAGAGGTGGGGGGGGGCTCCTCTTTTAGGGTCCTACTCTCATTAATGTATCCCCCCCAGCATTACTTCTGTGATGCCTGGAACACCTTTGATGCCCTCATCGTGGTGGGCAGTGTGGTGGACATCGCCGTCACTGAGGTCAACGTGAGTCACTCCTCTTCCTTGATGGGAAGGGGGGGAGTCCCCAGAACATTTTTCTGGGAGGGGGGGGGGGTCCCTTATATTTGGGACCCCCGTATTCGCCTCCATCCATCCGTCCATCATTTTCACCTGCTTTCATCTGTATTCATCCATTTCCATGTGACAGAACGGGGGTCACGTCGGTGAGGTAGGGACATCCCCAGGGGTGTCTTTAAGGTCTGGGGGGGCTTTTTGATGTCCCCCTGACCTCTCCTGTCCCCCCCCCCACACACCCTGCAGAGCTCAGAGGACAGCTCCCGCATCTCCATCACCTTTTTCCGCCTGTTCCGTGTCATGAGGTTGGTGAAGCTGTTGTCCAAAGGCGAGGGCATCCGCACGCTGCTCTGGACCTTCGTCAAGTCCTTCCAGGTGGGATTCTGGGGACAACGGGGGGACAGTGGGGAAGGGATATTTTGGGGGGGGGGGGACACCAGGGAGCCCCTCACCACCCCGTTTCCGCAGGCCTTGCCCTACGTCGCGCTGCTCATCGCCATGATCTTCTTCATCTACGCCGTCATTGGCATGCAGGTGAGGGACACACGTGTGTGCGAGGGATGCACGTGTGTGAGGGCGGGGGTCCCACGGCACGCCCAGTTGTGTATCACCCCCTCCTCCCCAACAGACCTTTGGGAAGGTGGCCCTGCAGGATGGAACCCAGATCAACCGTAACAACAACTTCCAGACCTTCCCCCAGGCCGTGCTGCTGCTCTTCAGGTGGGGCTGGGGGCTCCCAGGGGAGGTCTGGGGGTCACTAGGTGGTTCTGTGGGGTCTGGGGGTCCTAAAGGGCCTCTTTGGGGACTGTGGGTCACTGCACTGTTCCTATAGGGTCCTTATAGGAGCCTGAGGATCACTAGATGGTTCCATAGGGTCTCTGTGGGGTCTTTGAGTTCTAAAGGGTCCCTATGGGGACTGTGGGTCACTGCATCATTCCTATAGGGTCCCTATGAGGGTCTGAGGGTCACTAGGGAGTTTTGTGGGTCCTATAGGACCCCTATGGGGACTCTGGGTCAGTGCACTGTTCCTATAGGTTCCCTATGAGGATCTGGGGGTCACTATATGGTTCTGTGTGGTCTCTGGGTCCTGTAGGGTCCCTATGAGAGTCTCTGAGTCCTATAAGGTCCCTATGAGGGTCTGGGTGTCACTGGATGTTTCTGTGGGGTCTCTGGGTCCTGTAGGGCCCCTATGAGGGTTTGGGTGTCACTGGATGTTTCTGTGGGGTCTCTGGGTCCTATAGAGTCCCTATGAGAGTCTGTGGGTCCCTATGATGGTTCCGTGGGGTCTCTGGGACCTATAGGGTCCCTATGAGGGTCCGGGGGTCACTGGATGGTTCCTTTTGAATTCCTCTGGAGTCCAGACTTGTTGCAGCGTTACGGTGGTAAAGGGAACAGGGCTCAGGTCCAGCCCCCCTCTATATGGGGCAGCCAGAGGGGCTCTGCAGGGCCCCATAGGTGTCCCTCTGGCCCTATAGGTGTGCCACGGGGGAGGCCTGGCAGGAGATCATGCTGGCCAGCCTGCCCGGCAAGCGCTGCGACCCCGAGTCGGACGCGGGACCCGGCGAGGAGTTCACCTGCGGCAGCAACTTCGCCATCGTCTACTTCATCAGCTTCTTCATGCTCTGCGCCTTCCTGGTGAGCCCCACGGCGCTGCCCCACGGCGAGCTCCCTGCCCCACAGCCGCCCCGTAGCAGACGCAGCGCTCTTTCTCTCCCCTCACCTCCAGATCATCAACCTCTTCGTGGCCGTCATCATGGACAACTTCGACTACCTGACACGGGACTGGTCCATCCTCGGCCCCCACCACCTGGATGAGTTCAAGCGAGTCTGGTCCGAGTACGACCCTGCTGCCAGGTCTGTCACCGTCACCCCCTGTCACCATCCCCCCATCACCATTATCCCCTGTCACCATCAGCCCATCACCATCATTCCCTGTCACCGTCACCCCCTGTCATTGTCACCCCATCACCATCATCCCCTGTCAGTCACCCCCTGTCAGTCACCCCCTGTCATTGTCACCCTGTCACCATCATCCCCTGTCACCATCACCTCGATCACCATCACCTCGATCGCCATCATCCCATCGCCATCATCCCCTGTCACTGTCACCCCCTGTCACTGTCACCTCCTGATTTGTCACTGTCATCCTCCTTTTACCATCAGATCCATCACTGTCAACATCACCCTCCTGTCACTGTCACATGCCACCTGTCATCCTCCTGTCACTATCACCCTCATGTCATTGCCCCATTAGCACCCGGTCACTGTCACCCCTCCATCACTGTCACCATCGCACCCCACCTCCTGTCACCTTCACAGCCTCCCCATCACCACCGCCACCCTCCTGTCACCATCACAGTCTCCCCATCACCACCGTCACCCTCCTGTCACCATCACAGCCTCCCCATCACCACTGTCACCCTCCTGTCATCTTCACAGCCTCCCCATCACCACCATCACCACCGTCACCCTCCTGTCACCATCACTGCCTCCCCATCACCCTCCTGTCACCCTCCCCACCGCCTGTCACTGTCCCCCTGCTGTCCCTGTCCCCCAGGGGCCGCATCAAGCACCTGGACGTGGTGACGCTGCTGCGCCGCATCCAACCCCCGCTGGGCTTTGGGAAGCTGTGCCCGCACCGTGTCGCCTGCAAGGTGCTGGAGGGAGGGGTGTGGGGGGGTCACCGGGTCTCCTCTCCCCCTGTTCTTATCCTACCCCCCCCCCTCGCCCCTCCCCCAGCGCCTGGTGGCCATGAACATGCCCCTCAACTCGGATGGCACCGTCACCTTCAACGCCACGCTGTTCGCCCTGGTCCGCACCTCCCTCAAGATCAAGACGGAAGGTTTGGGGCTGGGGAGCAGCGGGGGGGGGGGCGATAACAGGACCCTCCTCGAGGGGGACGGGAGGGGTGACGCTGCCGTGTGTCCCCATAAAAAAAAAAGGGAACCTGGATGTGGCCAACAAGGAGCTGAGGGCTGTCATCAAGAAGATCTGGAAGCGGACGAAGCCCAAGCTGCTGGATGAGGTCATCCCGCCTCCTGAGGGTCAGTGTGGGGGTCCTCCCTCCTCGGTGCTGCCGTGGGGAGGGGGGTCCTGGTGACACTTTGAGGGAGGTGGGTGGCCCCAGCTGACATTTGGAGGGAGGTCCCGTAGCCTTTGAGGATACAGCAGGGGGGTCCTGGGGATGCCAGAAAGGCTTCGCTGCCCCCTTGGAACACTGTAGAGGGATCTTGGTGGCTGTTAGGGATGCAGTGGGGGGGGGTCCTGCTGCCCTTAACGCTGTCCCCCCCCCCCAAACACACAGAGGAGGAGGTGACCGTGGGGAAGTTCTACGCCACTTTCCTCATCCAGGATTATTTCCGCAAGTTCCGGCGGCGGAAGGAGCGCGGGATGCTGGGCCCCAGCGCCAGCCCCAGCAACGAACGCGCCCTGCAGGTGGGGGTCCTCAGCCCGGGGTTGTGTCTGTGTGGGTGTGGGTGTGGGGGGGGGGGAGATGGGGCGATAGAGGACCCCCACCCCCCGCACGCACACACGGCCCGGTGATCCCCTCCCCATCACCCCTCGTTGCTGCAGGCCGGGCTGCAGACCCTGCAGGCGTTGGGCCCCGAAATGCGGCGGGCGCTGAGCTGTGACCTGGGGGAGGACGGAGGAGGGGGAGCGGAGGAGGAAGAGGAGGAGGAAGAGCAGCTGACCTACGCCGTAAGCCCCGCCCACATCGACCGCGCCCTCGCGGCCACGCCTACCGCCTTGGCCACGCCCACTCAGGAAGCCCCTCCCACCCACCCCCTTTGCAGGCACCCGAGGCTCTGTATGGCTCCGCCCCCGACTCCCCGGGGAGGGGAGACGCTCCCAAGGCCCCCCCCAGCCCCAGCGAAGGGGAGGAGCCCGCAGCCCCCCCCCACGGCGTCACCCAGCGGCACGGGGGCAGGTATGGATGGGGGGGGTGAGGGGGGTGGTCTTGATACTGGGGGCCCCAATGGAGAGAGAAGGGGATGGGGGGGTAGGAGGAGAGTAGGTGGAGATGAGGGTGGGAGGGGGTCTTCAAGGGGGGAGGAGAGGAGGGGGGGGGGGCTTCAACGCTAGGGTGACCCCAAGGGGGAGAGGGTTCGATATTGGGGTTCCTATTGGGATAAGGGGGTTCCCAACATTGGAGAGGGGGCTCTGAAATTGTGTGTGTCCTCGCCCCCCCCAATGGGGTGGAGGCTGGAGGGGTCCAGACATGGAATGGGGATGGGGGGGCACAAAATGGAGATCCCCAGGGAGGGTTAAGAAACCCCAACAGTGGGGACAAAAGGGGTTTGGGGGGTTCCTGATAATAGAATCCCCATGGGATTGGGGGGGAGGGGGGGTGTCCCAACATCGGGGGTGCCCACAGTGAAGGGGCTGAGGGGCCCATCCCCACTGAAGCCTCCACCCCCCCCAACCGTTCAGGCGGCAGCACCCGGCTGGGGGTCCCGGCCCCCTCCCCGCCGCGGGGCAGGAGGAGCCCCCCGAGGAGCGGGAGGAGCCGGGGGACGTCGGAGGCGAGGAGGAGGCGCAGGGAGCGGCCCCACGGCTGCCGTGGGCAGCGGACGGGTACGGATGGGGGGCTGTGGGGGGCGGGGGCCCCTCCGGAGCCCTCCGCAACGCGTCCTCGTGTCTGTCCGTCCTTTCTCCCCCCCGCTCCAGGCTGCCGGGACCCACAGCTGCCCCCCAGCCCCCGCGCTGGGCAGGGGCAGCTCAGAGGGGGGGATCGCTGCCGCTGCCCAGCCGGCACTTCGCGCTGCGCGGCCCCGGGGGAACCATGGAGGGGCAGCAGCTGAAACGGCGCCGGCTGCTGCCGCCGACCCCGGCCGGTAGGGGGGCGGGGCTTAAGCGAGGGGGCGGGGCTTATGGAAGGAAAGCGTGGGCTTGGGAGTGGGCGGGGCTAAGGGTGTGGGCGTGGTCTTTTAGCATACGGTGCTTCTGATAGGTGGGGTTATGGAGGTGGGCGTGACCTACGAGCAAATGGCATTTCTGATAGGTGGGGTTACAGAAGTGGGTGTGGCCTATGGGCACATGGTTTGTGATAGGCGTGGTCATGGAGGTGGGCGGTGCCAACAGGGACACGGCGATTCTGATAGGTAGGGTTATGGAGGTAGGCGGTGCCAAAAGGGACACGGTGATTCTGATAGGTAGGGTTATGGAGGTGGGCGTGGCCTATGGGCAAAAGGTTATGATGGGCTATTGAGGTGGGGGGTGGCCAACGGGAAGATGGCATTTGATAGGTTGGGTTACTCACGTGGGCGTGGCCTACGGGGAAATGGTGTTCCTGATAGGTGGGATAAGGGCGGAGGGGGCGTGGCCTACCATAGCTTGGCATTTCGGATAAGCGGTGTAAAGGAAGGGGGCGTGGCCTGGCAAAGGGGCGTGGCCTAACAGGGGACACACCCACAGGCCGGAAGCCATCTTTCACCATCCAGTGCCTGAGGCGCCAGGGGAGCTGCGAGGACGAACCCATCCCAGGCACCTACACCCCATCTGGGCCACCGGGTCCAGCCAGGCCGCAGGTAGCGGGGAGCAGCTGTGCCGCCATCGCTCGGCCATGCCACCGCCAGCTCCGGCATCGCCCCCTCACCGTGTGCTCCAACCCCACGCAGGGCTACGGCAGCTCCGAGACGTGGCGCCTGGGCTCCTCCTCCCACGCCTGGGCCACGGCTCCCGCACGCGGCCACGTCCTCTACGCTCCCCTCATCCTGGTGGAAGGAGGAGGACCCCCGGGGGGGTCGGGGGGCGGCAGCCTCCCCCCGCTGTCCCGCTGGTTCCCCTCAGGGTCCCTCCGGCTGCGGGAGCCGCTGGGCCGCGGGTCGGCCGACAGTTTGGTGGAGGCTGTGAGTGCACCGCTAAACCCCCTCTTTCCCCCTCCAGAAAGCCGACTCACCCCAAAACCCAACCCCATGGCCACGTCCCCTTTTTTTTTTCCCCCTTCAGGTTCTGATCTCGGAAGGGTTGGGGTTATTCGCCCGCGACCCCAAATTCGTGGCGGTGGCCAAGCGGGAGATCGCGGATGCGTGCGAGATGACGATGGACGAAATGGAGAGCGCTGCTGCAGACCTGCTGACCAGGAGGCACCGAGGCCCACCCCCACCCCACAGCACCGCTGCTGCCGTCTACAGCGACGAGGAGACGCTGCGGGCAGCGCCCGGGGAGGAGGAGCTGGCAGATGAGATGGTGTGCGTGGGGGGACCCTAAATGGGGGAGGGCTGGGGGGGGGTGGATCAAGAAGGGGGGCTGTACTTCAACAGAGCGGTGTTTTGCATCAAAAAGTGGTGGTTGGTGTGAAAAGAGGGGGGGGGTTTGGCCTGAAGGGTGCTGTGGGAGGTGGCAAGGGGGGTGTGTGGACTCAAAGGGGGGGGGTTGGCTCGAAGAGGGGCGTTTAAACTCAAAGGAGCGGCATCTGATCTGAAATCAGGGGTGTTTTGCCTCAAAGAGGGGTGTTCAATATCTGAAGAGTGATGTTCTGTCTCAAAGAGGGGCCTTTAACCTCAAAAACACAGGGCTTTCCTAAAAAGAGTGGTGCTTTGCCTCAAAGAGGGGTATTTCACCCCAAAACTGCGGTGCTTTGCCTCAAAAATGTTTTTTTTTTAACCTTGGAAAGGGGAATTTCTACCTCAGACAATAGTGGTGGAGAGCAGAACAGGAGAAAGGGGTGGTGAATGCCGCCAAAGGGCTTTTCACCTCCACAAAGAATCACAGAATCACAGAATCATAGGGGTTGGAAGGGACCTCCAGAGATCATCGAGTCCAACCCCCCTGCCAAAGCAGGATCCCTACACCAGGTCGCACAGGTAGGCGTCCAGGCAGGTCTTGACTATCTCCAGAGAAGGAGACTCCACAACCTCCCTGGGCAGCCTGTTCCACTGCTCCGTCACCCTCACCGTAAAGAAGTTCTTGCGCACATTGGTGCGGAACTTCCTATGCTCCAGCTTCTGGCCATTTCTCCTTGTCCTGTCTCCGGCAGCCCGGACTTCAGAAAAAGTTTTTTTTTTTTTTTTTTTAACCCGTGAGAAACCCCGAAAATCTTCGTTTTACTTCAAAAAATGCACATCTGCCTCACGCCACGTGCTCCTCATCCCGCCCCACCCCGCGCGCCCATTGGCGGAAGCGAGGACCAATGAGGAACGCCTACACACCCATAAGCCCCACCCACTTCCGCACATACGCAGTGCTCACACCCACCCACTTCCGCACATGCTCAGTGCTCTCACCCACCACTTCCGCACATGCGCAGTGCTCGGGCCACGCCCACATGGCAGCACGGAGGTCTCTGCCCGCCCCCCCCTTAAAAATCCGCATTTTTAACCTCCAAAGTTTAATAATAATAAAAAAAAATCATAATACAATAAAATAAGCCCCCC